TTCTGCCAGAGACCCTCAGATCTGTCCCACTCCTGCCCAGGCCCCCACAGGCACCATTGACGCAAACAATGTAGAGCTGGCCATGCACACCCAGTAGGCCACACCCACCCTAGCCACACCCACCTTGCCCCCTGAGGGCAACCACAATGCTGATGCGGCCCTCAATGAAATTGAGTTTGACACCCCTGGTATAGTACTATGCTATGCTATGCTATGCTATGCTATGCTATGCTATGCTATGCTATGCTATGCTATGCTATGCTATGCTATGCTATGCTATGCTATGCTATGCTATGCTATGCTATACATAGTAGTGATAGTGCTGAATTAAGTCACGCAAAAAACACATCTGGGGAAAGACTCTTGCAAAGATGCTTACCTGCCATAAAGCTGCCAATATATGCGATCCAGCCCGTGGAGATACTGGTATTGCCAAGACTGCAGTTTTTATTCAGGGTGCAAAGCCCAATGAGAGAGGCAGCTCCAGCGATCATCCCCAGAAACATAAAGAATCGGGTGGCATGTAAAGAAACTGTCGGGAGCCAATGCAGACACAAGGTAAGAATTCAAGATGGAGGTTCTTGTGTATTTCACAGGCTAGTGATGCATTTGGAATATTGAATCTTACCTGACACAAATTCCACACCTATTGAGTAACATATTCGGTGATTACAATATTTCCATAGACCAAGATGTTTGCTGGAATCCACTATCCAATAGTCTGAACCCAAAGCAGTGAGCAAGCACAGAAGGCTGATGAAGCAAAAGAACGAAGCACCAAAATGCAGGGCATTCATTGTACCGAATGTCTCTGGTCTGTCACTGGCCAAGAGGTCTGGGATGGAACTGGAGGACAACATTACATTTAGGTTATTGATGTTCTTTACTTTGATCGTTTATAGTTATGGATCTTAATTACTTCGTATGCTAAGAATTTGGAGGTGATTTCAGTGCCATGATAAACTCCCTGGGAAAACTGAGAGTCCTTGACCCCAGTATAGACTTTCAAATAGATATCTGAATAGAGAGCCTTACAGAAAGAAGAATCCAGGTTCCATGATTAAATGTGTCCAGTTTCTTCCACAAAACATTTCTCTTTATGCTGTCAAAAACTATAAAGGTGGCACACAATTTCCTGCCAATGGGTGCGTATTTCACAATATACCATAGAATAAAACAATTGTCTCTCAGGGAGCATCCCAGTCTGAACTGAGCCTGTCCTTCCACCAAGAGATATTTCCACCCACATTCAGTCCTATATTTTCCTCAAATGAAGCTTTGCATACATTTTTGCAAATCAGAAAGGAATTCCAAGCAACAACAGCGGGAGTGCCTTCAAATGGTTTCTTGAGAGATGAGATTCAGATTTGATGAAACCAGATCTATTAATGGTATAGTGCAGGGGTAGGCAACCTTGGCTCTTTTATGACTCGTGGACTTCAACTCCCAGAATTCCTGAGCCAGCATCTCTCAGCTTGGAAACTCTCCCTTTCCCCTCAGCATGGCTGGCTCAGGAATTCTGGGAGTTGAAGTCCACGAGTCATAAAAGAGCCAAGGTTGACTACTCTGCATTTACCTACTATCACTAATAATTTATTCAGGTCATTTGGTCATTTGATTTGGCAAGATTTGGCAAGAAAATTAAAAGTTGCTGAGAGTTCTCACCAAAGATTCTTCAATGAGATTGATAGGTGGCACTTTGTCATCAGAACAATATTAGAGCATGTCTTTGGCATTATCTAGATTCCCACTGCTACACATATGCATTAAAATGGCAGTGCCAGAACGAAATAAATAATGAAATGACTTCCAACCTGAAACCTGCATAGTGAAAAGATTATAAAGATTATAAATATAAAAGATTATAAATATAAATTACTTTGAAGCCAGCTGGAGTCCCTGGATTACAAACATTGCTTGAGCTGCAATACTAAGAACTATTCAGAGACATGTGTGGTTACAGAAAATGTTAAGAAAACATGTAGATTTTAAGCCAGAACTATTTCTTTTAGGTATAATTACAGAGAACTATGAAAAAAATGTATATATTTAATATTACATGTACTCACAGCAACGAGAATTACATTTGCACAGCATTGGAAAAAGGAAGAAACACCATCGGAAGAAGATATAATTAGAAAAAGTTTGGATTGTGCGGAAATGGATAGCCTTACATTGAAAATGAAAGGGAAAGAAGATACAGAGAATTTTCAAAAATGGGATAACTTTTATAAATGGCTAGAAAAGCGGAATAGAGAGTAGAAATGGAAATTGTATTACCACTAATGTTAAGTATGTGAACTCAGACAACACATTGTTTATTAATGATTTGTAACCATAAAAATTCAATAAAATATCTATTAAAAAAAAGAATAAAATTTCCAACTTCTAAATGATTAAAGAGATAAAGAAATACTACCTCACACTTTAGAATTTGTTTCTTGGTCTTCTTGCAGGTGATAACTCTTGAGAATGCTTGGGCTCCACTCCCAGTTACTACATGTTAACACATAAGTATCTTTCTTTTAACCCCATAGTCTCCCCACCCATATACGATTCGTTTCCTGATGAATTCCTTGTGCTGCCGAAGGAAACGTTTGATTTCTTAATCCTTCCCTTTCTGAGATCTTCAAATGATTTCAGCATATCAGCAATGCAACAGCCACAGCAGTTTGAGCCGTTAAACCATTTTAAATCATTTGAACTATTATACTAAGAATCTAGAAATAAATTTTATTTATTTGTTAAGTTTATACGGGTAGACTTTAACTTATGACCACAATTGAAAGCAGAATGCCTGTTCCTAAGCAAGGCGGCTTGTTGGAAGTCAACTGGGAAGATCACAAATGGTGATCACGTGAGTCTGGGATGCTGCAACCATCAGCAATGTGACGATCGTAAGGGCAAGGACCAGTCATAAGTCACTTTTTTCAGTGCCACTGTAACTTTGAATAGCCATTAAATGAATGGCTGTAAGTCGAGGACTGCCTGCGTGCCTTTCAGTTCATTCAAAAAAACTCATTAAGAAGACCCTTCAATTCATTCTGAATCATTTTGTGTAGCTTTATATGGTTAGTTAGGTTTTCTTTTTTAGATTGTTCTGTATCCAAGAGTGGATGCTTGTATTTCTCTGCCTTCTTTTCTTTTTCACTTCTAGCTATTACTGAAAAAGTGGTGACATCACAGCTAGAAAATAAAGCCTCCCCCCCCAAAAAAAAAATAGAGAGAAATTCCTCCTTTCCTAGACGTGGACATGCTAGATATCTTCTGTTTGACCAAGACCCAAACATCCCACTGAGTTGCTAGTTCTGCTCTCTGCAAGTAAAGGCCGGGTGGTAACGTGCTTCCTTCCTAGAGCTGAGAGAAAATGAATGGCCCAAGATCTCACAGCTGGGTTTTTGCTTAAGGTCAGACTAGAACTCCCAGATCTCCTGGTTTCTAGTCTGATGGCTTAAGCACTACACCAAACTGGCTCTCCCTCCTTACATTTTATTGTAAATCATGAGCGGCATTCAGCTGGTCCTACATATTTTGCTCTGTGATCAAACAAAATTTTCTCTCTATCCATTTCCTTCTCCTTATTTATCTAAATATTGGCTATTGGATATATTTTATATTTAACAGCCCTTATGAATGATTATTGCAGTTTTAGCTGAGTTTATTATCAGAGGCTTAAATTCTGTGTTGGACTCACTAAGTTACAAATAGGTCCCTACTGAAACTCACTACAAATCAACAATTACTTAGTTCCCACTAATTTCAGTGGTGCTGAGGGGCAGCTAACTTAGTTGCCATCCAACTCCAACCAAGTTTCCCTTCTCCATTGAAATTGTCACGAAACACAGCAAATATTTTTGCCTTTTTATTGAAGAATATATTTTGCACATGTTTTGATATAAAACGTTCAGCCATTAGTGCAAGAACAATAGTAGAAAGTACTATAGTTCAAATTGCATAAATTCTGTTGAATGGAACTATCGGTTTTCTCCCCAAATAATTTCAGACCGAAAGACTCAGTTGAAGAGCAGGTGAAAGAAATCGTTGTTTATACAGACAGGAAATGCCGTAGCCGGAGTGTGTATGCCCAGAGTTATATAATTCTTTGGATTTCCTTATCCAAGTTCTAAAGTACAAAAACTCTGATTTCTAGGAAATCAAATTTTAAAGGTGTGATATGGAACAGGGGGAAATCTTAGATGCAGGAAAGGTGATCTGAGGGTTTTATCCCGAAAATTCCTATTC